AAATTTTTAGTACATTTTATTTCTTTAATTTCTTCATCACTTTGTCCGCAATCTTTCCGTTTTCTTCGGGTTTAATATCGTTTTGTCGTCCAATCGTTAAGTTATACTAAAATATTTGTAAAAATTACTAATAAAATAAAGAGTAAAAATAGTTTAATTAATAAATCAATTACTCTTTCAAACTGTGATATAAAAGACGACGAAATGTTTTCAACAGTTTTACATCTAATCGGTTGAGTCTTGTTATTAAAGAAATCAATAAATTGTGAACATTTTTTGAGCGGTTCCTCATTCGCTGATTCCTGTAATTCACAAAACTCTTTGTCTGAAAAATTAGAAAAACATTGCGTTAGAAAACAATAGCAAACATAGTATCACAAAACAAACCTTCAAACTGTTCAATCAAAGGCTTGGTATTGATATCAGAGTCTGCGGCAAATTTATCGTGTTTTGAATCGATCTGTTCGTCCAAATCAATCACTCGATTCGCGAATCTATCAATGTTTGACTGTTTGGTCACTTTTTCATCCGATTTGGTTATCGGTCTATCCCTTGCCTTCAATATTATTAAATGAATTTCATTGAGTTGTTGCTTAACTAAAGGCGGCACTGGATTACAAGAGGCCAGAATTCCCTGCTGTTCCCTATTATCATATGTTGCAATCTATTAGTTTTCATTCAACAGTACCGGTATTACCAATAATAATATATACAAACCGCGGCAAAACTTCAGCCATATGTAAAAGCATATGATTTGGCAAAACATAACTATTTAAAAGTAAATCAAATATTATTATACAATTAGAGTGGATAAAGAATTGATGCAAACCCTGTGCTTTCATCTTCATTTCGGGCCATTCTGTCCCTCCAATCGTACAACTCTTTCAACGCAAACATTTGTCTTGAATTAAAGTTAACTTTGCATTTCTTAAGCAACGAACGATAGCTCTCGCTATTATGTAATGGTTTTTCGTATTTCTAGAAATCATATAAATTGTCAATTAAACTTACAAACAGTTCTAACACTAATAGAACTCACTTTAAGGCAAACATTTTTACTCCTTTCAAACACTGCTTTCAATAAATTTTTTTCATTATTTCCGGCGGCAATCAATTGATTCTTCATTTGAGTGTAAATAAATATCAAGTAATGGGTGTCTTCGCGCGCGTATTTCAACAGCTCGGGAGTGAGTGGTCTGATCCGCCAGTCGGCCAATTGAAACTGTTTGTCGGCCTCAAGATTACAGTAATGTTTTAATAAGAATGAGAGCGAGAGATGGGAAAAGTCAAGCAATTTTGACGCGTGAAACGTGTCGAAGAGGTTCACTATATAAATGCCAAAATCTCTTTGCAGCCAAACCACATCCATATCCGCTCCATGAAATACCTGTCAATTATGTTGTAATAGTTGTTACAATAATACTATTAATTATACTAATTATAAATTATACTTTTAGTATTGAAGCACAAGTGAAAACTTCGTTCAGTAAATTCAGTTCAGATCTCAACTCAATTGTGTCGATAACATAATCACAGGTTTTGGTTGATATTTGCATTAAACACGTAAAACCTTGAAATGTTCGATACGAGTGATGCTATTATTAATACTCAAATTAATTAATTTTAAACTTAAATCAAAATTGAGAAAAATTACCTCCAAATCAACTGCAATAACATCACATGTCTTGAGATCTTTGCACAATTCAATTAAATCTTCAATTGTTGTAATGTATTTGAATGGTGTCTCAGACAGCGGTTTCGGAAACTTTGTTGCATTAAAGAGTTGTAATTAATGTTTCATTTATAATAACAAAAATATTTAAAAACAGTTCATTTACTTCTGGTATTTCTATTTGCAAGAAATGTTCCTTTGGTTCAAACTTTTCGATCTCTACTTCGTATGGATGTGAATATGAGTCAAATCCCAATTCAGTCTTTTCGGGTAATATGGCTAACGGTCTGATAGAGTTGGCCTTCTCTTTGATTATGGGAACGAATGGATGATTACTGTTGTCGATCTTGTCTTTGAACCTCATCTGTGATCTCTCCACTACTTTAGCCGAAAGTAGTTTACAATTGACTCCTCTTTTGGCACGAATTATATGCCTATTCCATGAAGAAGTGGTGCACGAGTTGACAGATGTCTTATTGTCGGCGCCAACGGTGGCCAACACGAGGTCCGCCTCCTTTTGCTTCAGACCCAACGCCTCATCCAAATAGTTGCCCTTTGGATACAAAATGATGGCAAAAATCATATTAGATATCATTAAATGTCACCACAAAAAGACCTACAATTTTATCAAAGATATTATCATTGAGTTCAGTGATGAGATCACTCTTGTCTTCGTCGACAACCATTTTCTCGATTCGCTTCCCTTTGTATTCATTTTGTATAAGAGATGAAAGCCTTCAACAAGTGATTCAATCATTAGATAATGACAATTGAGTTCAGTGATGAGATCACTCTTGTCTTCGTCGACAACCATTTTCTCGATTCGCTTCCCTTTGTATTCATTTTGTATAAGAGATGAAAGCCTTCAACAAGTGATTCAATCATTAGATAATGACAAACAAAATGGATAACAAAGGAGAGGACATACATCTCAAGACATTCATTGTTTTCATGTTTGAGGATTTGATTGAATTTGTGAGAAGTGTTGAGATAATTGTGATCCCAAGACCTGATGGCGAGCGAGCATTTGGTCGCATTCAGAGCCTTCTCTTGCATTTGCTTACAAATGGAGTCCATCTCTATATCTGAAGACATTTCTCACTATAAAATCAAATGTGATTTAAATCCAAACATTTAACACATGTTTTACGGCAACAGAAATGAAACACAAATTAATATTTCAAAATCAACACAAACTCAAAGCACGTGTTGTTTGTCACTGAAAGCGCTTTTTTCAAATTATTTCACATAAAGTTTGCTTTTTTGCAGTCTTCGAGTATTGCTTCATACGTAATATAAAGTAATATAACCGTAAAGTTTAACTTATAATTTTGACCTAGCTTCAATTTTGGAATCTCATCGATATAATCAATCGAATTTTATAATAAAATTATTATGGTAATTTTCAATAAAGTTCACATACCATGTTCTGTAATTGATATATTGTTAAATAATAAATTTGTGTTTTTATTTCAAGATTTGACTTTTTTGCAAATTATAATAAATAAAATACAGAATGTAAAGGCAATATGAAATTCAATAAAATATTTGGCAAAAATTACTTTGTTTTAAATAATAAATGTTATATAAAATATATTAGCTTTGATTTGTAACAGTTTGAACGATCCAATCATTATATTGTGAAATTCTGGTGTAAATGCCGGGTAAGTTAGGTTCAGCACATTTGATACCATTGGAAACAATGCCCACTAAAGTCCAGCGCCCTTCAGGTCCGTATCGTACAGCCAATGGTCCGCCGGAATCTCCTTCACACGAGTCTTTACCTCCGATGGCATATCCGGCGCAGACTATGGTATCTCTGGCCACGAAATGGTATTTCGTTTTTCTATACATTTGTTCACATTTCTCATTTGAAACGATGGGAACCTTTACTATTTGCAACACTTCCGGTATATTTTTCTCCGCTGTTGAGAACAAATTGCAATGTTTTACTTATAATTAGACATTTATTTGATGGATACATACC